TGCTTGGAGACATCATGTACATGAAGAAGCACAAAATATCACCTAGGAAGAAACGAATGACCTTGAGGACCAGCATAATAGATATGAGAGTGGAAGGTGCATGTATTGAGGGGAGATTTAAAAGATTGCCTTGTGTAGTCTCATAAAATGATGGCTGAGTGGGGATACATCTAGTATTTAGGCTGGAAACATGAAGAAGGTTGCTAAACTTCAGATGAATGAGGTTCTGAAATGGCCGCGCTGCTCCTGATGGGAGGCTAACCAACTCATTTTAAGATGGAGCTTGATCTATTAATGAACATTTGCCTGCAATGGCCCATTCCATTTCCATGTTTGCACACTGCCCAGTACACCGTGACCCTAATCCCCAGTTGGGATTTTTAAGCTATGTGGCAATAGGAACAAAAATTCACTTTTTTATGTATTCCAGGAAAGATGGGAGTGTTTGAGGCCTGATTTGTAAGCACACACTTTTGTGATATTTTAAAGATAATTGGCTTCTGGCATCTTATTCTGATGCAGAATTTCAAACAAAATATCAGGTGTTCTCCAGAGCTTAATTACTTAATGAACAAGGGTCAGTGTCACTTAATGACCCAATTTTGAAAATCAATACATCATGCTTCCTCTCACAACGAAAGGGTATGTCTACAGGGTACCATGCAATGCTTTGCAGAGATACTGAAGCCAGTTTTGATGAGCTACTTTGCATACCAGAGAAAATAGCCATCTTAGCATGACACTCCCCACTGGCTAATGAGTCCCACTGTGGATGCTAATGTGGCTATACCGCTTGGGTATCTGTATGGTGCTGTATTGGGCCACGCAGATGGACTTGCAAATACAAAATGAAGCAGTAATCACCGAGACCATGAGTCCAGCTTCCAGGAGAAATGTGTTCAATTGTTGTACCTGCTGAGAAACTAATATACAAGTCTACCCTCTCTATTCCTCTTTCCATATAAATTCCACTGGCACTTTGTGTTGCCCTATGTTCAGTATATTTACATCTTAAACACTTCAACCCCTGTCCCAAATTTCAAAATGATACGTGCAGTGAGCCAATTAGCAACATAACGCTGCCATATCCTGACAGATTCTGAAATATTCCTGCTTTAATCCCACCCCCTGCACCCCCAGGCTGCCCACCAGTGCTAGAAATCATCTACTCTTCCACTTCTGCTCCTAACAATGCGCTCTCAGAAGGGCTGGCATGACTGCAGGGCTGCACATGACTGGTGACATTTGTCAAATCAGATGGCATTTCACACTGTGCACAGATCCTCCTGAACACAACAGCAAGACTCTCTTGACTTCAGTGGGTGCAGGATTAGGCCCACCGTGACATTTTCCTTCCACCCCCAAGCCTCTTTGCTGACTGAAACTTTTGTGACACAACGTAGGCCAGAATACCCACAGTTTTACGAGGTCATCACAAGAAGGCTTATTTTCAAGGTCCTTGTCACACATTTTACTGGAGAAGTGACTAGCTGACATTTACAGAAAGGCCATGACCTGATTAAAGAGTTTTGGTAGCATTACGTTACCCATTGCACCAGGCTATCGGGACACGTTACATTTTAAGATAGACTCCATGACAGAGACTGGGTGTCTGTCTCACTCTCTGGAGGACATCCTTCACCTCCAGTGACTATTTTAAACACAGCTCAGGTCAGTCATCAAATGAAGTAGCCCATCTCCTACCTCTTCAGCACCCTGCTTGAAAAAAGGCTGGGACCCTTTGTCCAGTCCCAGGGTTCTCATGGAGATCCTTGGCCAAGGGTCTTGGAGCTGAACAGGCATTAAAACTGAATTATTCAAACACTGCAGCTTCAGAGCTTCCAGCTTGGAGCTAAGAGCCCTTGACATCACTGAGAAAACAGAGCACAGCTCTGCGCTCCTGTATACAGACAGGTCAAAAAACAGGTCAAAGCACAACCTTGGGGTTCGTTAAAAAACTCTCTGCAAGTTTAATTAGCCTTCACCTGACTTAAAAAAACCCCAAAAGACTAGCCAATGGTTTGATAGAATTTCATCACAAAGGTTTCTGAGACCCAGGCTGGAATTTCTGCCTGCCACCCACCATGCCATGCTAGCCAAGAGCCATGTTTAGGGCACTCACTAGATTTGGAACAAGTCCTTGAATCTGGTTCTACCGCATCTCAGAAGAAATCACGGGGCTGGAGAAGATGCCAATGTGTGTGTGATATACATCACCCTCTCTCTATATAATCTCACTCATTTACATGACTCTTCAGCCCTTATCACTTATTAGGAACAGAAAAATCTTCCCTCCCAAGCTGAGTGATCAGTGATTTCCAAAATCTGTTAGTGAATGCATCTTATTAATACATTTCTGATGATTTCACTATGCTGGGTTATCCAAGATGACGGTTTTGTAGAATACAATCCTTTGTTTGATGGAGTGATAGAAGTGTCCATAATTTGTTGTAATTATAATTTGCTCTATGTTTATATTGTTAGTTAGATTTTATTTTAACAAAAATAATGTTGTGCAATAAACTTAATGTCTAAGAATATTAGGGAGTTTTACCCTCAAATCGTGTATCACTTGGCTGCTGGAACAATTTGAGTTCCTCTAACAACAACCACTTTGGGGCCGATTCATAGCCTGTCTGAAGCAACAAGCTTTCACTGGGCTTAGAATTGGGACTTGCGGTAAGCGTTGTTAATATTCAGCTAAAGCTGGTGAGAACATGTACTGTTAAAGGTAACAAGAGCTAAGCTGCTAAGTTTCCTTGCTATTTGCTTTTTTGTTTATTTGCATTTTCCTCTTCTTGTAGTTGTGCTTGCAAATCCTCATCCAAGTGCACAATTCAGAATCCATCTAGCATCTATCATGCAGACAGGGAATGAGATAATCAGCTTGGTAAAGAACACAATTGAGATCAACGAGATCGTTTCTAGTTCTGCCTCTGCCGAACACCTCCTGAGCAAACACAGGCACTTCACGCTGGCAGGATTTTCAAGCCCGGATTCCTCGCAGTGGATGCCAAACTCCGTTTAAGCACCTACATGGAAGCCCAGACTTCCGTAATTCCATTCACTCATTTATAAAGGGGTTCCTAGCTTTAGGTATGTGTCTGAAAATTGTGACTTACGCTGTGCCCCAGTTTCCTCATCTATAAAAATTGAACTGTTTCTGCCCAGCTACCACAGAGGGACATCTTGAGAAATTTAGTTTATTTCTAACTTGCTTTTAGATTTCCTGATGGAAGAGACTATAGAAATACCAAATTTTGTCCATAAAAATTGACCAATACACCACTTGAAATGCTGCCCCTTCTCTATGCTGTGCCGCTGCTCCATTTAATTCATTTCGAGTTTTTATTCCAAGGAAGCAGGTGTGTTCCTACTCTCCCATCATGCTCTGGTCATTCTTTCAAAGCTTCTCTTCAAAAAGACTGCACGTATTGAGTTGGATTTCTACCAGGAAGGGTTAACAAATGGCAGATTAAGTGACAACACAGAAAAGAATTTCAAGCATGTGTAATACTTGCTCAAGAGTTCAGCATGGAGCCTTGGGATCATAGCGGAAAGGAATCAGGACTCGTGGCAAAGGTGATATCTGTTATTAGACCAACTCGATTTTTGCAAAAAAAATTCTTTAATTGCAAGCTTTTGAGCAACCTGGATACTTGGGATCATAGCAGCACCCTAAGCAGGAAGGTCCAGGAATTCAGCGGCAAAACAGACACCAATTCAAGGTGAATACCTGGGCCCTGACAATGGAGCACATTGACATTATGTAGCTCTGTGAAACAAGCTCAGGCACAGCCTTGTGAAAGAGTGCAGGATGTTGTGTGCTCTTACTTCTTGTGTTTCCATTTCCACCCCCTCCCACAGCATGGAGGGAGAGGTTATTTCAGATTAACCAGGATTTATCCCATGCCAGCTTTGTAAGCATGCTGTAACAGAAGATCACCTGAACCAATATAATCCTCTCCATTCACAAACAAAACAAGACATCCACGTTCATCCTCTTTGCTATATTAAGCTACAAGAGGGAGAACGCATTTCATCCATCTAATTCTGTAGAGTATTTAAGATTTGCAATCAACTGGCTGAAATTCAGTTTTTTAGAGGCACAGTCTTGTAAATCTCTTATTTCTGTCCTTCTGATAAGCTACATATTTTTAATATGCCCCAGTTATAACATGAGAACAACACCCAGTGCCTTGTGGATGGGAGTACTTTATCCAATGCTGACCACTTGTGAAAATCCCACCCAAGGCATCTTTAGTTTTCTATTTTTCATTAACAATCTTTTTATGTGGTTACAATAAAAGAGAAAGAGATCTCCCTCCGCTTCTCCAAGGGTGCTGTATAAGTCAGTCTGTAATTTGGCTAATACAAAAATTACACCAGTTGGCTTCTCTCCTGCACAACTTTCCTCAACCAGCCTTAACAGTATCTCAACTGCGGAGCTTTCCAACATCTACAATGAAAGGTCACAGGTCAATAAAGAACATAAGAACATGCTGCAATGGTTAGATGCCTTGATACACGAAGTATCATAAACATCTAGAAACTAGGAAAGAAAATGCCCTTGGCGTCTTAGATTCAATGGATGTGACATATTCGCATGTCAAGACTCCTAGTCTCCTCTGACCTCTATCGGTCTAATCATTGACTTCAAAGCAGTTATTAACCCATTTAAGAGGAAAATAAGGATCATTCACTCTTCTGTTATAAAATTATCACCTGTGCTTTGAACTCATTGGGCCAAATTCTTCCTGTTACTTCAGGAGAGTTACCGTATGGAAAAGTGTGTTTCTCTACTGTATTAAGATCATATTAGTTAAAGATGAAATGTGACCTATGACTCTTACTTTAAAAAAGCAATCATCCCATGAAGGCTATAATTATGAGTGCTCTTTGAGCAACCAACTTGCAGGGAAAAATAACCAATTTTACTTTATGCAGTGGGTATTCAAGAAAGCAGGCTGAAAGGAAATAAATGAAGAGTAAGCATCAAAGTGGTTGATACATCTGTGCTGTATTTGAATGTCCTTAAAAACAAGTAAAAGTAAAATGGGACTGTAGTTACAACCCCAGGTATGGTACAAGTACAAGCATGTCTGCATTGAAGTTACTTTTCTTTATTCACTGTGATACATTCAAACAGAAGTGCTCCTGATAACAGCTATAAAGTAATCTAAAATAAAAAAGGCAGAAGTCTGTCAAATACATACAGTAATTATTCATATTTTAAAGCATTAGTAACTGCTTGTATCCAAGTGCACCAAAAACCCACCTATGGGTCCCACGGTTTTGAACACTGCACTTAACAGAAACCTGCTCTAGCAAAACTGGTGTTTAGGACTAGAGTTAAGGCCTTCCAAAGAATAAAGCACCATCAGCCATGTGTTTGCTGACACCATAATAATTACTAACTTGAAAAAGATAAGGTTTAACTGAAATAAAATTGTCCTATAAAGCACAGGAGAAACCTACCTAGACTCATTCTTGCTCAGCTCAGGCACTTCACACTAGAGGGCTGCTCTTTGCGCATGTAACATCTGTGCAATGCATAACTTGGAGAGCTATAGAGGTTGGCAGGAGATGGGTGTAATGGAATCTAGACTACGAGACAGCGTCTACCTTCCTGTTTAAAGAAGTAGTTACGTGCTGCCATAATACCTGCCTAGTAACGTGACTGAGATGCAGTGGCACAATCAACCTGAGAAACACTTTGTGCCCAAAGTTTTTTGATTTATCCACATTTTTGGCTGGATTTTCCCAATTTCTAAAAATGTAGCTTTTGTTTTAATTATGACCCTGTTCTTGTAAAAGGCACTAATGTCCGTAAGAAACACCAGCCATCATCTAGCTCTAGTATATAGCTGCTGACCTACTGAATTTCATGGGTCAAGAACTAATTGTAATGTGCAGTTTTCAAAGGAAACTGCCCCAAATAGTGCAAGAAATCAGAGGTTTAGATGCTGTGTAAGTTACACCACTAAACTGAGATGGCAGATATACATACCAACCTCAGTAACAATACCTTTACCCACATAGCTATGGAAACAGATATAAGGACACAGATCAAGGGATGGAATGAAATGACATCCTCATCCTCTCTCCTTTTCCCAACCTTACAACTAATAATATAAGTAGCCAGCAAGACAAAAGATGTTCCTCCTTCCCTCCCAAAGAGCTTGCATTGCTGGAGGGGACACTAATGTGAGAAACCTTCCATGATTAAAGATCTAGATAAGTTACAATAGGAAGTAAAACTTTACCCCAAGACCTTCTACACTGGGTATTTCTAAGGTCCCTGGTGGATTGAAACCTGAGGCCCAGAGGCTGTAAAGATTTAATCACATTCATAACTGCTTATACAAGGAGAAATCAATGGGGCTGCTCACATGACTACATGTTATGTGCATCCTTATTAAATCTTTGTAGGACTGTGTGCTACGTTTTTGATGTTGCTAATAAAGCCTCAAATCACTCAAGCAGAAATGTAAAACCTCACTGATTTATTTACCCTTTATGCTCTTTGCAAGGTGCTCAACTTCCACTATACAAGAACTGCCCTTCTCACAAACTAATAAAACACTGCAGTGTTTGGGTTGCAAGCACCAGAGGAAGGGGGTGGACCCTGAACACCAGCCCCAAAATCATATTTCCATTTAAAATTTCAGATCAAAGCATTTCTGTTAACCTTGGGATTCATTACAACAAACGTATGCATGCACGAGATAGTCAACAGCATCCCTTTTGTCTACCTTTTCGGACACAGGTTAGATTTTGTATTACCACTTCCCAAATTAAGCAAATTGCTAGAACTACAAAGTAAGCAGCTTCACCTCCCTCTTCCCTCCCCCCACAGTTTTTCCCCCCTTCCACATTTTCTAACCACAACTCTCGTCACGCAATCGCCTTCCAAAGTGGTTTGACTGTCATGTCATCAGACGCATCCTGGTGTTTCAGAACAGACTCGCACACATTTGCAACAGACAAATTGGTAGCTTTTCCTCAGAAAGGTAATTAAGACCTGTAAGTGCTGTGCTTTCTGGGAGGTTTACGGTCTCTATCCCTCCCTACAGTCAAGGTAGTTGCCTTTGATCCAGTAACAGATCTGTGCATATTTGAGGGGCGTGATGCGAACAGCCACATTGAAATCCTGTGGGGTGCCGTTCATGTCCACCCACTGATGGCCTGAAAATATCCCAATAATTTTACGCTCCCATTTATGATGTTGTCTCTTCCACATCCTCACATATACCCCAGACCCACTCGCACCTGGCTGGGCATCGCACTGCTGATACAAGAGGTCGTAGGTTTCATCTTTGACATCACAGAATCGGTAAACCAGATTTCCTGGCCGATCGTTGTCATAACCAGAGAAATGAATCCTCCCTCCAGGCAAGTGTCTAGCTGGTGGGCTCACACCTATCTTCATAAATTTTCTTTTGTGAGGCTTCTTGAGCTCCAGCAGGGCATAATCATAATCCATGCCAATATCATTGGCGTTTCCTTTGATCCATCCTTTGGGGACATGTGTCCGTTTGACACGGATCCACTGGAATTTCATTTTCTCAGGCATTTTGGAACTGGTGATATTAGCACCTCTGCTGCCACCTTTTAGTTTGGGTTTCAGGAAGCCCACCCTCAGTTTTTGGGCTCCTTTGACGTAACTTTTGCCATCGTGGATGCAGTGAGCTGCGGTAAGGACATGCTTTTCTGCCACCAGGGTTCCTGTGCAGCCTGTGGACAGCTTCACCGATGTAGAGAATGGGTAATTTAACAAGAAGTCTTTCCCAAAAATGCTGAACCTACTGTCGTAGCCATAGATCTGCCTCTTTGTTCGAGATCTACTTTGCGACCCATCACTACTGCTGCTGAGAATGTAAATGCCTACTTCAGTTTCCGTAAGACTACCGTTGGAAAACAAGGTCTCATAGGACAGGTAATCCTTCACTTCTTCGTAAGTCGGCAGCCGGGAACGCTTGTGGCACTCAGGCCCACAAGGTGATACTACTTCCAGTTTGGCTTCTGCATCAAACCGGGGTTTGTCCAAATTAAGAGTTGACTGAGGCAGGACGACTGGCACTTTGTAGGCTGGCCAGGTTGGCTTCCAGCGAGAACTGGAGGACACGACAGCCTTAACAGTGCAGAGAAGGAAGATTAAAGTTAGAACTTGTGCCATGATGAAGATGAATCTGGAAGAAGGAAAAAAAATATATATGTAAAACTCTAGTTACTATGGAAAACAGGTAAGATTCATTCACCACTGCAAAACAAGAGTTTGCTCACCAAGCACACACATTAGCATTGCTCTGAAAAGTTTATCCCTATTTAGGGTCAAGGTCCTGGTCCCACTGAAGTCAGAGGAAAAATTCCTGAGTGACCTGTCGGGGAAAGTAACAGTCCCATACAGTGCATCACAACTCAGCAAAAGCATGAACTTGACCTTGGGGATACTTATGTGAATGCCCTGAATGTCAAGTAACGCAATTAAAAATAAAAAAGTGATGTTGTGTATAAAAAACAGCTTCACATCAGACATCCAAGATCACACAGATGCTTTACAAAAATGGTGCCTGCCCAAAAGCTGCTTAAGGCAGCTCTGCAGAAAAGGACCTGGGGGTTACAGTGGACAATTGGCTAAATACGAGCCAACAACGTGCCTTTTTTTGCAAAGAGGACTCAAGGCATACTGGGCTGCATTGGTAGGTATCCTGCCAGCAGTTTAAAGGAAGTGATTCTTCCCCTCCATTCAGCAGGGGTGAGGCCACATCTGGAGTACTGTGCCCAGTTTTGGGCCTCTCACTACAGAAAGGATGTGGACAAACTGGAGAGTCCAGCAGAGAGCAACAAAAATGGTGAGGGGCTGGGGCATGCGACTTACTGAGGGAACTGGTCTTACTTAGTCTAGAGAAGGGGAGACTGAGAGGGGACTTAATAGTAGGGCTATGTGAGGCTTCGGACAGAGCTTTGGATCCTGAGAAGTTTTGGACGCTTCGGGGGTGGAAGCAGCGTGTCCGGGTTGAAGCGCCGCCTTGTTCGGCTTCCCGAAGCGTTTCGGAGCCGCCTCGGAGATCCGGCCATAGGGTATAATGGGGAAACAATAAAATATCTATAACTTTGTTGTTTTTTGTCCGATTTGGATGAAATTTTCAGGGATGGCAGATTTGGCAGAAGGGATGAAGCCTACCAAGTTTCAATAAGATTGGTGCAGGGGGTTGGGGGAACGGCACCCCAAATTCCTGAAAGCAAAACTCACATCACATCTAGGTGTTACAACATAGCGGGGTGAACACTGCAGGGCTGGTAGTACATACTGAGGCCACAAAGCCTGCCAAGTGTCAAGAAGATTGGCGCAGGGGTTTGGGGGGGAACTGCCCCTCAAGCTGCGGACAAGTAAAACTGGTGCCATGGGTGCTTGTGGGACTGACCGGGTCCGTCCTGGGGCGGGAGGGGAGACAGGGCTGCAGGCCCGGCCGCTGAGCTGCTGCGTTCCCAGTTACTGATCGATCAATCATGATTCACTCAGGGACCAGCTCAATCCACAGGACCTAGC